ATGAAGTTCTGAGTAATTCCTCAATTCCAGATGGAATTTTGGGTTTTTTTTAAAGTATTTATTTTTATTTTATGTACACTGGTGTTTTGACTGCCTGTATGTCTGTGTGAAGGTGTCAGATGCCCTGGAACTGGAGTTACAGACAGTTGTGAGCTGCCATGTGGGTGCTGGGAATTGAACTCTGGTCCCCTGGAAGAGCTATCAGTGCTCTTAACCACTGAGCCATCTCTCCAGCCCCCGAATTTTGGGGTTTTAAGTAAAGATAAAGTAGTAAAACTGGAGGCATAAAAGGAGATAAACTGTTAAGAAAAACAGAAAGGACAAACTGACCAGGACCTGAGAGCCAGTAGAGAACTGTGCTTCCTCAGGGGGCCACAATAAGGATTTTAAGTCATCGGTGGAATGCAGCTTACTCATTGTCCACAAGGTAGAAACAACAGCTCAATTTCTACACTCTTACAACTAGCCATGACTCCTGGGAGCCTCATGCCTACTGACTCAATGATGTTCTAGTCAGACATATGATCCTGTGGCATTTTACACAACCTGTTCTGTAAAGTGTACTGCTACTCAACAAAATAGTGAGATGCCTACCTATCTATTCAAATAGAACATTTCACAATGGTCCTCAAGGGAACACCTAGGGCAGAGTCACTTTCCTGAACTATTGCAAAAGACTCAGTGGTGTGACTCTCTGGGAACTCCCACTTTCTCTCTTGCAGTGTTTCAATGTCTTGTGTCCTTTGTAAATTCTTTTTACCCAGCTATGTCTCTAACCTTCTGTTTTACACGATGCAGGAAATCTTTGGATGCACAGTAATTCCCTTTACTCCTTCCTCTTCTGGAAGTAATTTTTTTTGTTTTGTTTTGTTTTTCAAGACAGGGTTTATCTGTGTAGTCTTGGCTGTCCTGGACTCATTTTGTAGACCAGGCTGGCCTCAAACTCACAGAGATCCACCTGTCTCTGCCTCCTGAGTGATAACAAAACTTTTTGAGAAGCAATAAGATAATTAAAATTATGCTTAAAAAATTATAGGTTCAGAGGAAACAGGGAACAACTTAAAAATTATTTGGGCTGGCATCAATTTAGGCACCAAGTTATATCCCTAAGAGGCTTTCATCAAAGTTTCCAACCCAAGAAATTTACTTCCTTTCACCTGTCTAAGTTGTAGATCGAAATACTAGTGTCTTGTTAAGCCTCCTGTATTTTCCTTGAAGAAAGAGAAAAAAAGAAAGCTCAGTGATAAAAAACCCAGGGCACGGCACTATTCTACCATTGAACTTACACTCTCAACCCTGTTATTTAGCTGGATTGTCTTGAATAGTTGTACAAGTTTACAACGGATGATGTAATTATTTGATGAAAATGCCTGTTAGGATTTTAGTGGTAAGTTTTTAATTCTAAAGTAAAATATCATAAAACAAAAAAGTAAAATCCACGACAGCCAAGCCTTTCTACTTGGTCTTAAAGTACAAACTCCTCCATAGAGATGACAAATTTCAGTCTTCCTCAAAGAAATGGAGCAATTGACCCTCTGGCTCCTTCATACAGCCTGGCATGCACAGTACAGGTATGAAACCTGCTGTGCAGAACCGTAGGCCCCACCAGCTCCACCCAGCCCATCTGGAATCTACAGCCTCTGACTAAGTATCCAGTACTTCCACCATTAACCTATACTCCTAGTTTGGAAATCTAAACTTTACTAAGATCTCTCTGTGAGTGAGGTGTACATCAAAGACTTAATAACTATTTTAGGGCTGCAAGATGTCTCGCCAACAAGCCTGATGACTAATCTTCATCCTGAAGACCTATGTGGTAGAAAAACAGAATGCACTCTCCACAGTTGCCTTCTGACCTCTACACGTGTGCTGTGGTTTGCACATGCCCACCCACATACAAATGTACACACAAATAAATTTAAAAAGGACAGAACTGTTCTACACCATAGCCAAGGTTGCTCTCGAGACTGAGCACTGCAGTGCAGTTTGATGGAGGCACTGATCTCAGACGTACCACTAAACAGCTACTTCTCAGAATTGCCGTGAGAACCAAATGGGACCCAGCAGGCTCTTGTTGCCTGGGCTGAGCCCACCTCCCAGCCTTTATCCGGCACTACTTTCTGTTCTTGTATGTTTCACTCTAGCCATGCCAACCACAGAAAGAGCATGCCACTGCTGCTTTAGGATCTTACACAACTTTCTTATCCACGTATAATTCCCTGTCATGTGATCTCTGCATGTCCAGCTTGTTACTCAGACCTCAGCCCAAGTATCATCTTTACACTGAGACCATCTTGGACTCAGTATTTTCTTTTGTGAACTTGACCTAAACTGAGTCGTCTGGAAAGAGGAAACCTCATTTGAGAAGATTCCCTCTATTAAGACTGCCTGTGAGCATGTCCGTAGGGGCATTTTCTTGACTAATGTGGGACGGCTCAGGACACTGGGAGCAGTGCCACTTCTGGGAAAGGTAATCCTGGGTTGAATAGAGGCTGAACAAGCCACAAAGAACTAGTAAGCAGCATTTCTCCATGGCCTCTGCTTCAGGTCCTCCCTCCAGGTTCCACCGTGACCTCCCTTAATGGATTATGCCTAGGATGCATAAGCCTAATAAACTCTTTCCTCCCAAGTTGCTTTTGGTCATATTTTACTGTAGTGATAAAAAGCAAACTAGGAGAGAATGGAGTGGGCTATTGCTGGGACAGAACTGACCATATTGTTGGGGAGGATTATGGGAAGTGTGTGTAACTGTGCTATGGAAAAACTACTATACACTCAAAGATTAATGGGCTCTTCTGTGGGCGCTTGGGAGAAAGCTGAGAGCAGTACAGACCATGGCAGCCTGAACTGTGAAGTTAGAGGAAAGTCTGAGAATCTCTCAAAGAACCTGGTAGGGCTGTTCATATAATATTCTGTATATAAGACTGTGGTTTCTGGTCAGCTGGGGCTAAAGAATCAGCTGTTATTAACGAGACTGGGTGCCACTGAGATAAAATCTGGAAGTACTCCTTAATGATCAGTACACAGAAGCTGTGGTCCAGCAGAGTGCACCTCAGACTTGTGGCCAAACCTGGCACATGCACGAGGACTCCATGTATACTGGCTTTGGCAATATGGAAGCTACAGGACTGAAGGGTACTGGAGAGCAGCTGAGGCTTGGCACTGTAAGAGGCCAAGTGGTAAAGGTAGTCTCAGGTGCAGTGGAGTGCAACCTACTGGAAACGCCAGGACTGTGGGATGACTAGCAACAGCTGTAGCAGGCGTGCGCCGACGCTGGCTTGAGCCTGACACAAAGTACATATGCTGTGCGTGGACGGCAAGGCTGGAGAAGCAGAACTGCCTAAGCTTTGAAGACCAGATCATGAGTGAGCAAATCCCAGATACTGCACACAGATTTACCTCATGGAATAACAAGCATGCAACTTACTTTTGGTTTTATAGGAACCTAACTTTTAAATTTTTAGAGACTTTGAACACTTTAATAAAGACTGAACTTACAAGTGAATTTTAAGACTACAGGACTTATAAAGGTAGATGTGTTTTATATTATATCAGTATTATCTTGGGAATAAACAAAGGTTATAATTTAATAGCAGTATAGTAATAAGTGTGTCAAATTGAAAAGGAGCCAATTGTGCCAGGTTTTTTGTTTCTTTGTTTTGTCAACTTGACACAAAGTAGAATCCTCTGGGAAAAGGAAATCTCAGTTGAGAAAATGCCCCTGTAGGCAACTTTACAGGGACATTTTCTTGATTAACGGTTGATGTACGAAGGCCTAGACAACTAGAGGCAGTGTTGCCCTTAGACAGGTGGTCCTGGGTTGCTAAGGTTCGAAGACTGAGCAAGCCATGAAGTGCTAAGCAGCACTCCTCCATGGCCTCAGCTTCAGTTTCTGCCTCCAGGTTCCTATCTGAGATCCTGCCCTGACTTCATCAATGATGAATTTGATGTGGACATATAAGCAAAACAAATCCTCTCCTCCCCTAAGCTGTTTTTGATTATGATGTTTTATTGCAGTGATAGAACACAAACTAGGAAAACCACAAGTCTGCCCACTCTGATGAGTCACCCTAATTCTCGGCAAGGGACTTAGCATACTCTGTGAGCAGGAACAAGGAATATTTAATTCAGGATTGTAACCCGGATGCCGTCAGCTGTGCCTCTCACTGTCTGCTCAATGCACATCTGTTTAATGGAGAGGATAAAGCTACCCTGGAGAATACACCTTACTTGAATGTTAAATGCTTTTGTTTAAAGAGAACCTTCCTTTCTTTTTCACTACTGGATTTCTTGGCAGTGATAGAAATGTCACTTGTTTACTCTCTGGTCATATTATGTTAAGTGAAAAATATGCACTGGCTGGGCATGGTAGCTTTAATCCCAGCTATAGGGAGGTAGAGGAAGGTGGATCTTTGAGTTCAACCCAGTGTAGTCTACGTAGTGAGTTCAGGGCAGTCACAACTACCCTGTCTCAGAAAGAAAGAAAAGAAAAAAAAGAAGAAAAGAGAAGAGAAGAGAAGAGAAGAGAAGAGAAGAGAAGGAAGGAAGGAAGGAAGGAAGGAAGGAAGGAAGGAAGGAAGGAATAGATACACAGGCTGCTTCATCAACTCATGAGCTATCTGTCTTCCCTTCAAGTGTCTTTGTGAAGCAATTCACATTAGGTCATTTTATGCATATCCCTGGATACTGCTGAAATTCAACTTAGGGCAGTAAATGATGATGCTCTGTCCAGTTGCTGGATCATCGACAGCCAGATGGCCTGGAGGCTTGCTGGGCAAAGCTGCCAAAGACACAGGAAGAATCTACTTCATTAGACACCAATCTGAGAACTGTCCAAAGACTCCTACCACAAGCCTGACATTTAACAGTGGTTTAGTTAGCTCTTAACTTTCTTCAGTTATGCATGAAAGAAATTTGTTAAGTTCAATATTTCAGATTTCAAAACAATAGGCCACACATTAATAATGTACAGAAGCAGACCACAACTGTTTGCTTTAATCTGCTCATATTGTCTACTAGGAAGGCTACAGGAATTCTCCCATCACCATCAAGTTATGCCCAATACGTCTCCCCATCACAAGAATGGCAGAGAAGCCTCTTCATGACCTCTCCTGAGCTCAATAAAAAATAGAAAAAGAAAAGGCACACCTGACAGCTGATTTATTTGCTGAGTTTACAGAGCAAGGGCCCCATCTGTTGGTACTGGCTGAAACAGGAAGTTAAGAGAAGGGTATGGTGATGAAGGGAATCCTGCATTGACTCCTCCAAGTCCAGTAATCCACATGCTGCTCAGCAAACCCTACTGCATGGAGCATGACTTCATTATTGTCAGGCAGGAAAGGAAATGGAGTTTCTGCCATCGTCCATGATTCCATATCCTCAGGCTTGTTTTATATTAACTGAACTGCTCCAGAAGCAACAAGAGGTGCAATGGTTTTGTACCGGATCAAGTGCTGCGAGCCCTCCTCCAAGTCAATAACATAGTCTCTGAAAGAGGAGGAGACGTTTTATGGAGGGAGTTTAGCTGGTTCTCCATGGGGAAGACGCACATGCACTCACCTCTGCTCGTCCGCTTCTGGTTCTACTAGTATGTTTTCTTGTCGTTCTTTCACTCTCAGAAACACATACGAATCTAGATCTGGTTTGGGAACTGCCAGGAAAACAAAAATGTAATCATAAAACACTAACATGTTCAGCGAAAGTCAGTAGGGTTACTGTTATCGAGACTTGTGATGTAAGCGGAGATGTGAGGGAGGTCTGGCTCTTTGTAGAAACCACTCACTTAACAAATGACATAGACTTACAATGTGTAGAGGACTCTATGTAGCAGTTTCCTATTTTGAAAAGGGTCCATTCTAAGAACCCCAGTGAATAGTACTGAATCATATATGCACATACCTAAAAGCTTTAACAGCACTAATCATAATTGAGTAATTATACTGTAATAAAAGTCAATGTGGCTTCTCCCCACCCTTATGCTTGTGAAGATACAATGCCTATACGATGAAGGTAAATTACTTAGACATTGTGAAATAATTTGGCCACTGCTTTTCCACAAGTACTGAGGTATACTGTCATTTATCTGGTGAGATTACATAATACTGGTCAGAACAGTGCAGAATTAAAAAGTATTTTTTAGGTATTTATTCCATGTATATGAGTGTTTGTCTGAATGAATGTGTATGCACCGCCTACATGCAGTGCCCATAGAGACCGTAAGAGGCCACTGGCTCCCTTGGAACTTGAGTTCATAAGGCAGGTCTGAACTGCCATGTGGATATGGAATTGAATCCAGGTTTTCTACAAGAGTAGCAAGCACTCTTAACCAGTAGGCTATTTCTCTTGTCCTAACAGTGCAGTATTTAAAAACTTACAAGTTATTTCTAGAATTGTCCAGCTTGTACTTTTGGGTCATGGATGACAATAGATAACAAATCTTGAAAAGTGAAGCCACAGATGAGTGGTTACATATTATGGAAGTTACAAACAGGTAAAACACGTCTTTCTAGATGAGGAGGTAACTGAGCCATTAGTGAAGCCTCATATTTGTGGTGGATGCAGTTAATGATGTGGAAAAAAAGCAGCAGGTGTGAGCTCTAAAGAAAAGCCCAGGATTTAAGCAGACGTGATGTTGGGATGCCACACAAAGGCTGAGGTAGAAAGGTACATGAAGATCTAGGATCTTATCTAAAGGAAAGCTTGGTTCACATGGTCACAGTGACTATTAGACTATTGACTGTTAGACAAAGGACTCTGCTCTTAACCCTGAGGATGCTCTCAACAGTTACAGCTAAGAAATGCTGCCACCCTTCTACCACTACTGGCCAACATCTGTCGGTATGTGTCACAAACTGGACTGTGGTTCAATGGCTCTCTGCTCCTGGAGTTATGGCAGACTCTGTGAGACTGTTGATTTAGAACGCTACACAGTGGTTTGTTCCAAGTCCCACAGGCTAAAGTGTATTCCTTTGAAAGTCATACATGCAAGTTGTCACTTGTATCTGGAATGAGACCGTGGAGGAAGGTATTGAAGTTTAAATGAGGCCATTGGGGTGGGTACTAGGTCAGTCTGACCAATGCTCTCCTAAGAGGATATGAAGACACAGAAGGTCCAAGTGACTTTAAGGAGACCGGAATGCATGCTTCTTCCCTTTGGCCATGTAGGACACACAGAGGAATCATGAAGTTCTTACTAGTGACTTCATCCTGGACTTCCAACTGCCACAACTGTGAGCTGTTCAAATACACTAGGATGGTGTTCCATACTGCAGGACTCCTGCTGCAGCATGTGCTAGGGCAAGGGGTAAGTGATCAGGGCGCTGCTGTATGCAAGGCCAAGGAACACTGGGCTCAGTAGACAAGGTGGGATCTGGTCTCCTAGACAAAGATTTGATTTGGTCTGGCAGTTTTGTCTCATTAGACTTAACTATAGCAGGCTGAGGGATATGTATTTCACTGAGAACTCTCAAAAGCTCAGCTGGCAGATTTTCACAATAGCGCTGAAAAACGCTTTCTAGAGGCAGAAAACTGTTTCCTAGCCTCCTATATAGCCACAACACTCTGACAGTTATAAAACCTGTGAGACCTGCTTTCCCAGAGCTCAGAAAGGCCCAGGATGGTCCCAGATGCTCAGAAAGTTTATGACTGAATAAATGAAGAGTCTGTATCTGGAGTAACAGCTATGAGTCCAATCCATTTTTGTGGACACAAAAGTAATGCTGAAACTTTAACCTTGACATCTATTTTTGATTACTTTTGTTTTTAACCAGAACTTTTCCTTTTCCCTTCTATTATCTTGCTCCTTATCTGCATACCTATTTTTCCACACTGATGAAAGAGAACAGACTCTCAGGCATCTTAAGATGTCCGGGATGATATTATGGTCCTGATCTTCATCTGGAAAAGGCAGCTCTGCTTACCTGCCCTCAAGAAGTCCACTTTCTGCAGGTTGGGAGGCATGTGTTTTAAGGCAACATTTTTAAAATAGGTCTCTGTGTGATCCATATACCTGGAACAAAGATGTTAAATTGCTGTGATGTGCACAAATAGGAGCCACCAAGGTTATTAGGCTTTGATAACTGTGTATGAGGCCCATGCTTGAAGCCAAGCACAGAAGCACAAAAATTTTACATTTCCTGTTCACTTACTCTTTGGCAAAAGCAAACTCCTCTGGAGAAAGGATGGAAGGTTCCCCCACTGGGCGTGTTTTCTCCTTCTCTAGAATGTGAGGGAAAAACTTCTCTATCTGTGAAGATAAATAAAAATCATGAAAGTTCATCACTCAGGGCTCACATGCTTGCTGCTCCTCCTCCTCTTTTTTTTTTTTTTTTGGCAGTGTTGGGGATTGACCTCAGTGCCTTGCATATACTAGTCTAGTGCTCTGCCACTGAGCTACCCAAGACCCAGTTTTATTTTGTTTATACGCTTGTGTGTGTTCATGTGTGTGTGTGGAGGGGGCTAAAATTATATATCTGCATATACATATAAGCCAGTAGATAACCTTGGGTTTCATTCCTCAGGTATCATTGACCACACTTTTGGAGATACTGTCTCTTAGTGGCCTGGAACATGCTGAATGAGGTTGTTGCTAATCTTAAAGCTGACAAGAAAGGGTTACAGAAATTGCTCAGTGGTTAAGAGCAAAGGACCTAGGTTCAATTCCCAGCACTCACATACAGCTCACAACAATCTGTAAATTCAGTTCCCAGGCATCCAATTGTATCCTCTTACCTCCATGGGTACCAGACACGGACACTGTGAAAAGACTTATACGCAGGTGAAACTCCCATACACATAAAATTATCAACAGCAGCAACAGTAAAACTGACAAGAAGCTAGGAGTGTGGCTCAGTGGCAGAGAGAATGTCCAGCATGTGCAAGGCCCAATTCCCCAAGCACTAAGGGGTTAATAAATCACACAAACAGCAAGCTTCCAAAAGTCCAAACAAAGATACATTCCAAGACCCCCAAAGGAAGACAGTTCAAAGAGGAGAGCTTTTGGTAACAGCTTCTGAAAACACAAATGTATCTGATACTAAGGAAAAGAGGGGCTATATTTAACAGTTAATGTATAGAGTGTCTTCCTAGGAGCTGAAACCTGTACAAAAGCTGAAAAAGAAAGGTATATAGAAGACACAGATATAGTACATGGATTATCAGAAATGAGATATATAGCTTGGAAAAAGCTCAACATTAACAAGACTAAAACACATTTACAACCAAAAAGCTAAATGCTACAAAATTTAAAAAAAAAAAAAAAAAGTATATTTTGTTAAAGGAAATGGCCTTTGGAAGTAAGAAATTGACCATGGCCAGCAGGGAGAGAGGAGAAAGAGGCAGTAGTGACTGTCATTTAAAACTGGATATCTATTTTTTTTTAAGTTTTTCTTGTATACTATTTTGTAAAGTTCCCTAACAGTCAGGCATGGTGGAAAACGCCTATAATTCTAACACTCAGGTGAAAGCCAGAAGAGCTCAAGTTTAAGGCAGGCCCAGCTACACAGAGACCTTGTCTTAATAAAAGTAAGATCTGATATCTTTGTGCTACCTTTGTAGACAGACTATAATCCTAGCAATGAACTGGCAGGATTATACATGGATGAATAAAAAACACTGGTTTATGGATGGAAACAACTCTGTGGTAGGTAGCCTATCTACCACCAGCACGTGTGAGGTCCTAAAGTCAATTTCCAGCCCTGGGTCAGGAGCTGGGTCTGCAGGTGAAGGCACTTGCCATGAACACTGAGGACATTGAATTTGATCCCCTGAACCCACATGGTGGACAGACAGAACAAGCAATTGTTGTTCTCTGACCTCAACAAGCACATTAATAAACACTAAAACAACAAAACAAAACAAAAAAATTATCCATTGAGCTGGGCATGGTCACCGCTGCCATAATCTCGGCATTTCAGAGGCTTAGGCAGAAGGTTCTTGAGTTCAGGTCAGCCTGGATTATAGTGAGAACTTATCTCAATCAAAAACCGGAGCTGGAGAGGTAGCTTGGTTGGAGAGAAAACCCAAGGCCCTGAGCTGGATCCTGGCACTACATAAAACAGTGTGGTGGGAGCACCTGCTTATAATCCCAACACTTGGGAAGTGGAGACAGAAAGATCATGAGTTCAAGGTCATCCTCGGCTACATGGCGAGCTTGAAGCCAGCCTAAGCTTTATAAAACCCACTACGACACAAAAATCCACAAATAAACACATGTAATAAGACCTCAGATGCAGCTGAGCGGGTGCCTCACGCCTTTAACCCCAGCACCAGGGAGTCGGGGGCAGGCAGATCTTTGAGACTGAGGTCATCCCTGTCTCTGTTTCCAGTTCCAGACCAAGCAGGCACACATAGCAAGACCTTGTCCCCAAAATACCCCTCCCCTCCCTAAACAGACCCCACAGAAACAGTAACAAAAAAAAGCACATTATTCAGTGGGTAGGTGTCTATCTGAGAGAAGCTTCTGCTAAAATACTCTTATTATTGGCTCAGTCTTATTAATGAGTCAGATATAAATTTTTACTCCATATGCATTGAACTATTGATGGCAAAGTATTAAGAGATAGCTAATATTTTGAGGGACCAGATCAGGATTTAGAGTCCAGGATAATGGCCCTACTTATTTAATAAGATCACATTTAATGGGATGGGAGGATGGTTCAATGGTCAAGACTATTTGCTGCTCTTTTGGAGACCCCAGCACTCACATGGGAACTAACAATCATCTGTTAACTCCAGATCCAGGAATCTGATGCCCTCTTCTGGCCTCTGAAGGTACTATGTATTCACATGGCGGACATATATGCATCTAAGACACTTAAATACACAAAAGGCATTCAAATAAAAAAGATAACACTTAAGAGCTTAATCAGTAAAGCTGTAAATTGAGGGGTCAAAATTCAAGCCATACAAGGACATCATGGTGCCTGGAAGGAGTGACTATAAACACTTCAGAATGGATTAAAAAAGTGCAGAAAGAGTTGAGATGAATCTAGTTGTTAGCTTTACTGATGTGATCCTGAATGGTGCCCTTATCAGTTCTAAATCCAGAGTAATGGATGTGATTGTCTTATCCCACTGTAGTATAACCACTTCTATGGAATAGGACATACAGCCAGAGTTACACAGTGAGACCCTGTCTCAAATAAACAAACAAGTAAATGAATAAATGTTTCACAGTTTCATTTTTGTAAGTCAGGAGCTACGAACTATAGTAGAATAGCAAATGATCATAGTCCATTTGACATATGCTAAATAATTGGAACTGGTTCTCACTAGCCAGGCAACTCTCTCTCCCAAAGAGCTCTGTCTTTAGTACTGACTCACTCTAACTCTAGAAGGCACCATCTAACATCAAATAAATTAGATTTAAAATGTTAAAAATTTCCTGGACTTATCCAACCTACAGTTTCATCTACACTTCCCAGAACGTACTTTCCTCACTCCCTGGCTATGGTGATGCTGGGCTCTTAGAATCTTCAGACCCTTGACTTCTCCCTATGCTGTTCAATACTCCAAACATTACTGTATTAATGCCCATCAAACCTTCATAAGTCGACATCGCAAATAGCTGCTAAGGACGTAGCGGATCCTCTCCATCTCCATTCGATGTATACTGACCTTCAGATCACCCTTTTTGGCTCTTCTGAGATTTTCTTCCTATTATAAGAGAATTTAAATCATGATGTTCAAACACTAAAGCATATAAGCACTGGCAAAGTCAAGGAACCAAAAATTAAGCAGTTATAATTCAAAACTACCCACTTTAATTATGACCATTTCAATAGAATCTGAATAAGGTCAGCCACAAGGTTCTAAGATTCCAATCATTGTAAAGGAGATGATGTAGCACATAGCAGAAATGTCTAAGGGTCGAAAAACAAAACAAAACAACAACGAAGAGGAAGAAGGAGAAGAAGAAAAGGAGGAGGAATAAGGAGGAGGAGAAGGAGGAGAAGGAGGAGAAGGAAGGAAGGAAGGAAGGAAGGAAGGAAGGAAGGAAGGAAGGAAAAAGAAAAAAGGAAGGAAAGAAAAAAAATGAAAGAAAGAAAAGTAAAAAGGAAGGAAGGAAGGAAGGAAGGAAGGAAGGAAAGAAGAAAGAAAGAAAGAAAGAAAGAAAGAAAGGAAGGAAGGAAGGAAGGAAGGAAAGAAGGAAGGAAGGAAGGAAGGAAGGAAGGAAGGAAGGTCTAAGGCTCTAAGGCTCTAAAAACCAGTGTCAAAACACTAGTTTGGGGACTAGGGCGATAGCTCCATGGGTAAAGTGTTTATTATTGCAGACAAGAGAACCTGAGTTTGTATTCCCAGATCCTAAGCAAGGCCAGGTGTGGTAGTGTGTGCCTATAATCCCAGCACTCATGCAGTACAAAGGGAGACAGAGACAGGAAAAATCCTAGAAGCTCCAGGACCAGCTGGGCTAACAAACCCAGCAGTGAGCAGAGATCCTGTCTCAAGGTGGAAGAGGAGTACTGACATCCAAAGTTGTATTATGACCTTCACACCCATGCACACACGTGCCTGAGAATCATACACACAGCTACAAGAAACCAACAGCCAACCCTTATGAGGCTCTTATGAGGCTCTATAAGACACAGACATTGTAAAGTTGCTCTGAAGGTGCTAATAACCTAAGCCCAGAGCATTCTAAGACAAACTTAATGGTCATCAAGGGTCAGGCAAGTTAACGATGTTAGAAAGGAGAGTTGTCAGGGATTGTAGAAAACAGAACAGCACTGTGAATGGGATGCTACTTAGCTGCTCTGGTCAAACCATCTCATGCAGAGATGTAGAGCCGGGGACAGACCTTATACTGTTCACAGGAAGCTGGCATGCTGGTGTTTACAGGGCTCTTAGGCTGAAGGGAGAACCCAGGTTTGGTGTCCAGCACCCACATAATGGCTAACAACCACCTGTAACCTCAGTTCTAGGGAATGTGATACTCCCCGCTGGGCTTTGTGGGCACCAGGCATGCATGTAGTATACATACATGTAGGCAAAATAGTCACACACATAAAATTAACTCAAAAAATTTTATGGAAACCTTTGCAGTTTAAAACATAGATGCAATGGCCAATACTGGTTGTCCCCTTGACCAGATCTAAAATCAAGTAAAACCCAAGCAGCTGGGCATGCCTGTGAGCGAGTTTCTTGATTAGATCATCTGAGGTAGAATGAGCTTAAATCTAGGCCATACCTTCTATGGACAAGCTTAAATAAAAGGGAACAGGAAAAGGAAACTAGCTTTTTGCCTGCTTGCCCTCACTCTCGATGGCCAGTTCATCTACCCTGCTGCTGAGGCATTACTTCCCTAGTAATAGAACACTACTTCTCTCTAGGATTCCAACATACACTGAAGATCAGCTGAGGCTTCTATCCTACTGAACTGAACCACTTATTATCAGATTCTTGGCCTTTCTGTCAGGAGTCAGATATTGTTGGACTAGCCAGACCACAGCCTGTAAGCCACTGTAATAAATATAGATTTCATTTTTTCATGAACCTTAAGAGAACCCCAACTAAAATCTTGGTAACTTTTTTTTTTTTAAGTACTGGGCTGAGTCAAACAAAAAGATTTGTCTCATTTCACTATGCTGACCAAATGCTCTCTCTTCCTCTGCAGCCCAGCGACAAGTAACTCTTACCATGTGCTCTAGCTGTTCCATGACACATTCGACAATTTCAGACTTGTTTTCCAGTAGCTCAGGGGCAAACTTTTCATTCATCCATGCCTAAAAAGCAACACAGGAAAAATGAGTGGTAAACTCACAATGGAGCAAAACACACTAGAGACAGTTCAAGGGCCATGAAAATCACAACCATCCTACAGAGAAGACTACCAGCTGGAAGATTAGGAATGCTCTGAAGACAACGCATGGTGACCTTTCCATATCTTCTTTTAGGAAAAGGGCTTTTATTCAATTGAAAAAAAATATTAAAGCACTGCTTATTTCGTTCATCATTACATTAACTTGTAGGTGATGGCCATGAGAGTCTAGCCTTGTCATCTAAGAGCATCCAATGGGAACACATTACTACTCCCTTTCCAAAGGGAGCATCATCAATTTTCTTCCTTCCTCCTTTTTTGAGGTAGGGTCTCACTGTGTAGTCCTGGCTGGCCTGGACTGGCTATACAGACAGGACTGGCCTCAATCTCACTGGTCAATTCCCTATTACTGAGCTATACTCCCAACCTCCAAAATTTTAAACATGTTCATTATTGCTATGAACTGAATTTTGTTTTTCAAAATCTGCATGGTGGCTGGTTCTGACTCAGTAACAAGGTTGTTTACTATCATGGGAAGGTCCTTGCTTCTATCCTCAACGCCCCCCCCCCCAAAAAAAAACCCAAAACAACCCCAAAGATTTCCTATGTTGTAATCTTAATCTGGTGCCTCGAAATCTAACTATTTGGAAATGGAGTTTTAAAGAGGTGAGGTCGATGAAATGAGCTCATGAGGATGGGACCTAATCAATGTGACTGGTGTCCTTCTCAGAAAACAAAATCTTATTTCAGACACAGCCAAGAGAGAAGACCAAGTGAAGACACTGAAGATAGCCACAGGAGGCCAAGGAGAGAAGCCCAGAAGAAACCGACCATGTGAGTACACTGATCTCAGCTCTTAAAAACGGGATAAATCCCTTGGGAAGACACTCAACCTGCATTTGAGTATTATTAGCCCCACCAAACAAATACAGTCACTGAAATGAGAAACCGCACTGTAGGAAACACCTAATAAACCTTTCATTTAAAATTTAATTCAAGTACAATTACACTCCTCCCCCCCCCCCTTATTTCCCTCCCTCAAACCCCAACCATATCCCCCAAGGCACTCTCACCTTCATGGCCTCTTTTTAGTTATTGTTATGTATATATACCTATCTATATATGTATAATATGTCAATAGATAAATACAACCTGGTGAATTCATTTAGTGCTGCTTGTTTGTTTTTAGGACTAACCATTTGGTATTGGATAACCATTTAGGGAACTCATCCCTGAGAAAGACTAATTCTCTCTCTCTCTCTCTCAGCAGCTGATATTTGCCTGTAGCTCATTTAGGGGTGGGGCCTTGTGAGACTTCCCCTACCATGTTGGAATGTCAGCTGGTGTTGTCATTCATTGCTCAGGTCTTGTTTACTCAGTCATATTATTGAGCTTTGATGGGTATGGCTCCCCTGTCATATTTGGAAGACAATCCCGCAGATTTCCTGGTCCTCTGGCTCTTCCTGCTCCCGCCTTAGTTGTCCCCTGAGCCTTAGTTGTAGGGGCTGTGTTGTAGATGTATCCATTGGAGCTGGGCACCCATGACCAGCTGTTCTCTAAACAGCACTCAACCGTATATGCCATAAATGGCCATAAATGCCCCAGAACTTGTAGGGCAATGCAGTGCATGCTTTTACTGCCTGCACATAGATGGCAGAGACAGGTGATCTCTGAGAAGTCAAGGCCAGCCAGTGCTGCATAGTGAGTCCCCATCAAAACAAACAAACACACACACACACACACTTGCAGAACTCCTAAACTATCAATTTCATGAGAAGATATTATTTAAGAAAGAAAGAAAGAAAAAAGCTAGGTTATAAGAGCACATGAAATAATCATTGTTGTTGTGACTAAAAAGTATGTTGACATTTTCTTGCCAAATCAGACATTTTCCAGTGGGATGATGGAGGGACAGATTGCAGTAGAGAAGTGCATGCTTCTGTCACAAACATTTATGTCCTAAAAATATCAAAGAAGAGCCTTGCTTTGTCGAACGTTTTACTAAATATGTCCAAAGTTGTCTCTTACTAAGCCATCCCTGAAGACAGAAAAGAGGAGACTCCTTCTAGGGAATGACCTGCTCTCTGGCTTCCTATTTTTATGAAGATGTTGCAAACACTGCTCTTTAGAAACAAACCTTCAGTTACCTTATTTTCTGAGCCCTGGTATTGGACATCTGGAGTAAGTTAGGGGGATAAGAACAGGGCATATGGGCTCTATTTGGGGTGCTTACCTGCTCCAGCCTTTCAATGAGCTCTGCAGGAGTTAGGACCACCTCTTCACTACCCCCATCAGAGTCCTGTCCATGGAGATCCAGAACCTCTGACATCGTTTCTGAACCAAGAACCTAATGAGAATAAACCAACATCCTGAAAAGTTTTCCCCACTTACTTGCAAGAGAAGGCTTTTAGGGAAAAGTTTACTGGGACTAGACAGGGCCCACTGACCAGGGCTGGAGAACTCATGGACTAATTTTCAGTTGTTGCAATTAGTCCCTCAAGGATTAGGTTAATTGTCAGCTTCTCTCCTCAGCCTTTCCACTGCATGGGTCTGGAACTGAGCACACACCATACTAAACCTCAGGTGGTCCTTTTTGTCCTCAGTAGCAGCTTTCTGCCTTAGTGGCCCAGGTGCCCATTTCCGTTCAAATGTGAAACATGCATCGCGTTAAGTGCTTGGCACATCTAGTGCGCAGCTACAACTGCCCCAAGGCGCCTGCTCATCCCAACGCTCACCTCACAGTCGGCACTTAAAGCGGCTACACAGCGCGGGAATTCGTCTTCCCCACCTCCCCCAGCCCGCACGTCCACGGGCACCGCGGGCGAGGCTCCGCGAGAGGCAAGCGCCGGAGCTCGGGCCGACAGACCGCTGCCAACCGCGCCCCACGGGCCCGACCTCCAGCGGTGCAGCTCCCGCGCTCCTTTCCGAAACACAGCGTCGACCGGAAAACGTCAGCTCGCTGGGGAGCACTAACCAATCACACCCGAGAAAACCCGAACAGGCCCCGCCTCCCCAGGGCTCCGCCTCCCGCAGCCCCGCCTGCCGGAGGGCGGGCACTCGCCGAGCCGCGGAGCGTACTTCCTTCCGGGAGGCGGTGGCAGAAGTCGGGTATGCAGTCCAGGGTGACACCGGCCGGGAATGGCCACGCGGGGTCGCTCGCCACACAGCGAGGAAAGCAGGCAGTGCCGCCTCGCGGCGGACCGGTGCAGGCGTCTGCTTCTGTCTGTTAAAACCCGGCGCTTCTCCTGCGAGAGCTTGCCTCACTAGTTCCAGACCGCCCAGCTCCACCACTGTTTGGGAGCCGGCGGAAAACGCAGATTCTCAGGCTCGTCCAAGGCCCCTGCCTCAGACTTCCCGTCATTGCGATGCAGACGGTTTGCTTCCATTCAGCATAAACAAGGAAAGCAAACATATGTATTATAATACTGTACGTGTTGTTTCCGTTGTCTGGTGCCAGTATTTCTTTGACTTGTGGGCGCCTTTCTCTCTGATGTGTTTTGTTCTGTGGAAAGTGTCACTTTTGGCTGTTCTAGATTTGTTTATCTCTAGATTGAAGGACTGGGAAGTTTCCTATGCTGCGTGGAGAAGGTTAGATTGATATTGCCTAAACTATGAAAAATTACAGGTCTGGGGATATAGCTTAGCTGGTAAATTGTTCACCTTGTGAGGTCCTGAGTCCAATACCAGAATTTACATAAACGAGTCAGGTCAGCACACATTTGTAATACTAGCCCTCTACAGGACACCGGAAGATGCCTGTTGTTTGCTGGCCAGCCTAGCCCAATCAGCGAACCCCAGTACCTTAGAGAACCCTTCCTGACTAATACACCAAATAAACTCACTCTTTCCCAGGATGAACTTTGGAAGAATTGTGCCTCTACAGTTAGGACCTTAGGAAGAGGGCAGGTGTTACTTCACCCTCCCGGGAAGGGATTTCAGCAACACTGTGTGAGTGCGTGTGTGTGTGTGTGTGTGTGTGTGTGTGTTGTTGTTGTTGTATGTGCCTGTTTGTGTGGCCACATGCCACATATGTGTGCGAATGTGCAGACGCCAGAGGCCAACAACACTGGGTTGTCTCTCTCCAGTTGCTTTCCATCTTACTGAATCCAGGATTCTTTCAGTTGGCTGTTCCCGATGGCCAGTGATCTTCATCGGTCCCCCTCAGGCATTACAGACACAGTACTATGTGGTGCTAGGGATCTGTGCAGCAGCTGTCTCCAGTCTGTTAAGGTCTCACCTGTCACTCTGAGAAACTTAGGATGTTCCCACCCTCCTTAACATTTAATATGGGTTGGTTCCGTTGCCAAGCCTATTGTACTATTGTATATATACGAATCTATGAACTCATAGTACATATGTGTACTATAGTATATGTTGAAACTACGTATGGGACTCTGTTGTCCTTCCTTTGCGTTCTTTTGTGTAGAAACGTTTTCTAATCTTATTTGAGTTATTCTTTCTAACAATGAAAGAATGCCTATTCTCTATCTAGGATCCGACCTTTATAGTGTGTGAGTGCAATGCACGCGTGAGGTGCATGCTGACGGGTATGAGGGAGTGAGGAACATGTGCCTATCCAGACGGGCTAGAGGATGCCCTATCATTCTCTGCCTCATTTCCATGAGATGGGATCTCTCGCTGAACCTGGAGCTATGCTGGCATCCGGGAAGGCCCAGCGATCCTTTGGTTTCTGTTCCCGACATGACTGGGGTTATAAGTGTGTAGACACACCAAACACTTTTTTATGTGTGTGTTAGGAAATTGAACTCGGGCCACGGTTGCATAGCAAGCACTCTTACCCATTGAGCCCCTTAAGTTTCTTTCTCACAGATTTATTCACTTCATTTTCATGTGTGTGTGTGTGTTTGCACGTGGATGTGGGTGCCTCCTGAGGCCAGAAGAGTGTATTGGATCCTGACGGAGCTAGAGTTACATGTGGTTGTGAGCTGTTGGACATGGGTGTGGACAACCAAACTTGAGTTCTTTGGAAGAGCAGCCAAGAACTGAATCCAGAGCAAATTTGGAATTTAGAGCAAAGAACTGCTCCAAGTCAATGAGCTATCTGTCCAGTTTCTAGCTTGCTACATTTTTTTAAGTGTTAGACTTCCTAATTAGTTTCAGAGATGGAATCACATTGCAAGCTGTATGGTTTTATACACCTATAAATTATGCATCATGACATTAATACCTGAAATAGTAAGACATAACAGGATTAATAGAAAGTTGTAGAAACTTAAATTTTTCATAGCTTAAAGACTTTTGGCATTATACCTATATTTCTCACTAAAATAATTTATATAGACTTGGGGGTTATAGTGTGTGGTACAGTACAATATTAGCACATACTCTGGGTCCAGTCCCCACAACTAAGTAAAACAAAAATCTCTTTCTACAGTTTATCACTGATATTAAAAAGTTGTTGTTATTTATTTTTATTTGATAAAGAATCTCATTAACTCTGGCTGACCTGGAACTTGCTGTGTAGATCAGGTTAAACTCACAGAGATCCACCCACTCTTGATTCCTGGTGATTGTAAACATTTTATCATTCATCCCCTATTTTTCTGAAAAGTGAAGAATACGATGATTATATTCTGGACCACATATCAGTATATTGGTATTTTACTGTCAAATTAGCATAGAACATAAAAGGTAAATTCCATCTGTGGAGCAACGCAGAGTGATAGAAATTACTGTACTTAACTTCAGTTAGGAAATTATCATTTAGCTGGAAATAGTGAAGTTGGTCCTTACGTTGTTATTATACTTTCTGAGACAAGAGCCAGAAGCCTTGGCTATTTGGTATATTACAGTAGATCCTGTAAACAGCTGCCATTCTAGAACTGCGCAAGCATAAGCTTCTGACATGACCTATGGAGCCCCAGGAATGCTAAAATCATCCAGGGCTCTGGTCTGAGAAAGGGCCTTGTCTGCAACGTTTATGTTAAGTGAGGAATTCAGCTTTACCCTGAACACTGGGCTGTTCTTTAATTTCCCTTACTCATAAGCCAGAAAAAGTTACTTCCCTATACTTCTCTGTTATTTTCCTCTCTTAGTCTTTAACGTTCCTAGGAGTGATCATTGTGGACATGGTTATTTATATAGACAAGGTGGTTTGCTGCATACACACACACACACACAGACACACACACACCCCTCCTATTCTGGATGGTCTGAAACTCGATGTGTAGACCTTGGTGGCCTCGAACTCACAGAGTTCTGCCTGCTTCTACTGGGATTAGCTACCATACCCAACACACAAGTTGTGACATACAAATTGTTTTGTGGGAGAATTTTCTAGACATTTTCAAAAGTATAGAAAATCTTAATTTTTTTTTTTTTTTTTACAAATATAGGAGCTGGAGTGTAGCTTAGTAGCAGAGAGCTTGTCTGACATGTGAGGCTCAGATGTGATTGCCCCAACTAGTGTTGCTTTTCAAATACAATTCTTCAAATATCTATGGTATTTGTAGGAACTAGATTATATACAAGCGTTATGAGTTACATAAAGTTGGGATAAAGGTGAGTTGCACATGCGAATCCCCCACTGAAAAGGGGCTGTGTCTCCTTTAGGTACGTTCCTTGGCATCCATTGGATGCCAGGTTAATAATTACCAAGACTTTTTGAATATGAATTACTCTCACTGCCTAGCAATGACCTACTCTGAAAATATGAGGTAAGGGAACATATACATGATCAGAAACGAGAGGGCTAGCAGCCAATGCATCCATTTTTAGGTCCTCTCTTAAGTGACAGCCCAGAAAGTCTCACAGCCTGTAGCAGTCTGTTCTTAAACTCAAGACCCTCCATCCTCTAAGCACTGAGAGCACAACCCAGTCATACCTAGTCTCAGAAATTCTTAAAAATCAAGCCAATTTATGAATCTGTGCTGGGGCTGACCCCTTGGGCCTCATCCATTCTCAGAGCTCTGCTAGAGTCATACCCCAGCTGGACTCTGAGGGTCTCAGGGTTCACTATTAAGTCAAAGAGTAACAGCACAAAGCTAAGCAGCTTACTAGGACCAATACTGGGCATGGTAGTTTGGGCATGGTAGTCTGACCATCTCAGCTGAGGCACAAGGACCACTTGAGTCGAGCTTAGTCATTAAGTTCCTGTGAATCTTTTTTTGCAGACATGGATTGAACCTAGGATCTCAAATAAGCCAGGCACTCTACCATTAAGCTATGTTCCCAGCCCCCGCAGGACTTCTTGGTGGTAGGCAGACTTAGCAAAAATTTTCAAATGAGGTACTTGAATTAGTGGTAGAAGTAACATACCACCCATAACCCTTACTTGGATAACTGCATTCCCCCCAAGTTTATTTGGCATGGGGGATCAAGTTCAGGCTCTTAGGCTTGAAATGCCTTTATCCTCTGAGCCATTTGTCAGGCCCACGTTAACTCTACCTTATCTCGAGTAACCCTAGAGCCAGGCAGTCCAGAACCTCACCTTGGCTACGGGCAAAGTATTTTGTTTTTGTTGTTTGTTTTTCAAGACAGGGTTTCTCTGGGTAGTCCTTGCTGTCTTAGAACTTGCTCTGTAAACCAGACCAGGCTGGCCTCAAACTCAGAGCTCTGCCTGCCTCTGCCTCCCAAGAGCTGGGATTAAAGGTGTGCGCCACCAGAGCCCCACTATCTTTGCATTTCTAAATTTTGCTCGTTGGAGTCTATGACTCTTTATGTCAACAGAAAGATGCTGAAATTTTCCTGCCGGAAGATAAGCTCACAGTAAATATCAGAATACACTGTATGTTGTATTCTTAAACTGTGTGCATGTGCCTGCTTAGCGTGTAGGTAGGGGCCAAATTACAACTGCAGGAGTTGGCTCTCCTACCAGTGGGAGTGCGAGACCGAACTGAGGGGTCAGGCTTGGGGGCAAGTGTATTTATCCACTGAGCCATTTCACCAGTCCTATTTTGT